GGTCTACTCTACAGGCGTTATCGACACCTAGCTGCTGATAACGACAGACTTCGCTCCTTCGTCTGCAGCTATTGCAGCAATTAATTCCAAGCCGAAGTGACTAATAAGCTAACAATAATGGCTTGCCCTACATCAAACACTTCAAAGGATGAAATAGGCCCACTTTATTATTTTGATAAACAATATTGATTTGTTTATTTGTGTAGAAATCTCCCTGTTTGTGAGGATCGCTTTGGAATGCAATGTACCCCTACCAATAATAAATATGTTAGCCGATGTCAAAATCCGTAACAATTTCAATTACAAGGATTGTCATTTTGGATGTAAACACTAATATAATGTAGCGATTACGCAACAAAGGGAAGTGCTGGTAATAAGCCAGGATTCTCAAGAAGTTTGAGCAATAATTCGGAAGGTGTATTTGAAATTTGGTAAATATTTTGATTGGTTAAAATGCTAATATCAGGGTAAGATCGAACATGTCTCTGGCTAGGTGAAGTCGGCCTATAGAGACACCCCTATGTGTAGTCAGCTATTAAAATGTATTTAAAAAAGAGGGCGCTGTTGCTGTAGTGTAATCTAGAACGTTTCTTTATATATACAAATTGTAAATTGAAATTTTTTGGCAATACATTGAAAAACGTAGAAGCACCAAAAGCATCCTACAAATAAAATTAAATGGAACATACAATTACATTTCAATGATTACATGAAGATTTTCATTTCAAGGCCTTTAATGTTATCTCTGAATAATAATGACAGGTATGGAGGGCAATGTTTGTCCTAAACAGCCGACAGCAATACGCGTCCTCAATATCAATATCCACGAAGTAACCAACTAAAGGAGACAAAAACTCTGTAAACAATAATGCATTGCTGAACTTTGTTTAGTTTGTTCGAAAAGTTCATATCTCTGAAGACGACCCCTTGTTACCTGTTAATATTACCTTCATAGTGATAGGTTCGGTTAGCATCACAAGTGCCAATATCAATACGCGTACATGCAATACGCAGTACGATTTGCGAACTATTTTCGATCTGAAATAATAGTCCCGTCAAACGTCAGGTGACGTTTCTTGCATCACGCGATCATTTCACACAGTAAAGCCGAAGTCATAACTCAGGCCCTACTAACAGTCAGCCAACGACAACGCTATATTGGAAAACTAAACCTTATTCTTTGATGAACATCGGTGGATTTTTGTCTGAATTTGTACCCAGAACCCAGTGAACCGTCCATTACCGAGGATGTGATATAGCTGTTTGCAACGATCGAGTCGTCCGTGATGAGTGCAACAGGTAGGAAACGTTAGTCAAAAAAACAAATAATTGAAACAAGTTATTGCCAAAATACTGATATTAATATTACGATTTACTGGCACAAGGTTGTGTAAAATTATCAACAAGACTCCGTGTTACTAAATTTAATTCAGAAACATTTCTTATTCATTCATAAATATCTTAGACGGTTGACCCGTTCCTATTGGTAAAGAGTGGTTTAAACGGTTGCTTTAACACCGGAGGGTTGGTCATAAACATTTTGCAATTGGGACTACGAAATTGAAAGGCACATACCATAACAGAGCAAAAGGGTGTTTCAAGAACATGAGGTAAAATTGTTCAGCAAAATCTTTAGAAATATATTTCTAAATATATATGGGTGTGTGCAATTTCAGTGGGCCCGAGGACCTGGGTACTAGTCCTCAGGAGGATTTCGTGTACAAACCTTATGGGAGCTGTCGAGAAAATAGATGTAGTACAAACAAAAGGGAACAAAAGTAGGAAAGGGGCAGGTCCTCATGAGAATAGTAAGAACGAGCTGGGTCTGCTGATGTGTGTGTTACGTGTTGTAAAGATGAGATTAAGGCAATATAAATCTTTGTAGGTATATACGAGGTATATACGAGGCTTCTTACACTTGCGAAATACCAATTTCTGTTGAATTGCTTGGCGTTGCGTACACGGGCCCGGCTCACTTGGCCCACTGTATATTGAAGCACTATTGCAGGACTACTTCGATAGCGTTCAAATGGACTTTCATACCAGTGTCAACAACACTTAGCAGACAAACGTAGCTTTTATTCAACTCATTAGTAGGGATCCGAGACCTGCTAGATGCTTACCTACTTGTGGTTAATAATTCACAACTTTGACCTGTAAGATAACCTTAGCTGCTAATGCATACAATGGTAGTATGGGCTACGATTGCACGTATAGGTGCAACACGAATTGTATGGATGAGGAGCTGTTTTTAAACTAATACAACAAGTACTTACTGTACTTACTGTTCCTGGTCTGTCTGTCATTAGTTGTTGGTCTGTTGATAGGTTTTAGTTTAGTTGCTCATTTTTGATTGTTTCTGTCTTCCCATAATGGTCTTGTTATACATTGTACTTGTCACCTTCTTACATTTGTATTGTCTTTTTATCATTTATTATATTAATCTAGGTCCTTCATATGCCATTTTTTCCCTAAGCATGTTCTTTTACTTGATTAGTTTGTTCTTACGTTTTAATGCTAATGTGCTTGTACTTTTACTATTTTATTATTAATACTTTTAGTGTAACAATATGTAATTTTGAAATTTTGTTTTGTTTTTGTAATTTTATTTAATTTATTTTTTTTTGTTAATGATTTTTTAGCGCCTTGAACGTCAATTTGAAGGATTTTTTATTATGTACTTGTGAAGAAAAATTGTCGTCAGCGTTGACGACCCCCTCCCCAAGTCACACGTCAGGACCGAGTCTGAATTTGATAAACGCCACGTCACAACTAATGCAATTTCCTTGTGTGAGATTAACAAACGCTCACAAAGTTTGGGAAAGATTGAAAGGAATTTAGCGTCTATGCACGCCCCACCGCAGCCATGAAATATTTGATACGCGCATGAAATAAGTACCAATTATCAGCCTTATCCATAATCCTACCTTACCGTGTTAAACCTACACTCAACCAACAAAGAAAGTCCCCCCCCCCCTTCAAATACCTTTTTTGTTTAACTCAAAAACTATTGAGCACCTCTCGCTCAAATAATGACTAATCCGTACAGAAGCTCCTTATTTTCAGCTGTACTCTTTATTTGGCCCAAAACAGTGATAATGTGTACGAATTTATGCAGTTTATGACAAATGGTACCGAAAACAGTTGCACCTTTGTATACGTGCAAGTTGTGGTTCACATCAATCAGTAAATCTTGACGTTCAAATATGAACAAACACACTTAAGAATGTGTTCCTATAATGACATCACAGCAATTAGAGCGTCCTCAGTTGTTAAGAGAACCAGAAAACCACGGTTAAACATGTTCAATGTTTAGAGGGGCACTGCGTCCTGAAATCCCCGAAAATTTTATGTTTTGGATTTTTACTTATCCTATTTGAAACACCTGGTTGAAAAGAAACCAACCTCATGCCTTACCGTACCCGAGAAAAGACAAACAAAATCGGCTGTTTACATCGCACATGTCGGAGTATGATACGTGTTTCCTGTCGTTTTCAAACAATGTACGATACATGTTGTGTGTGTTTAATATTACACACGTACACACACATGTTTACGTAACATACCAAGTGTTAAAATTCCTTTGGTTTCGTGTTGTTAAGAAAAATCTCTAAAAAAAATCATTTTACTCTCACTGTAAAAACTCTTTCAATCCATTCTTTTTCTATGATTCCCTTTCGTGTTTCTTTTCTTTTCTTTTGCCACTGATACAACTAACACAAAAATGTCTCTAAACCTGTTTTCCAGAAAGGGGGAAAACTATGTGGACTTGCCATCTCTCCATTGTTGGTGTTCGCATCTGCCCAGATTCTGCGCCACTCAGACTAATTAGGATCAATGACATCAAGACCCTCTAAAGCCGGCCTCAGGTCGACCCACGATTCGTTTGCGCCACGACGGAACCGTCGGCATCAAATACAAAAGTTATGCTAAAGTCACAAAATTGAAAAATCGTGTGATAGTCGCGGAACACGTCGCAGCAGTTGAAAGTTTTCTACTCTTGCCACTATTGATTTTTGTTGAGCGCCGCCTTATGCCGATCATTTTAATATCGTCGCAGTTACACTCAGGTCGCACTGAATCGGCGACTGAGTTGTTCCCGACGGTCGTAGCTCAGACGCACCTTGATAGCAATAATGTCCATCTGTGTTTATTACAAGGCCTTTCCTTCATATTCGTTCAGTGAGAGTACTTCTACCTTGTTACTACCAAGATGCCGAGAAAGACCGTTCAGCGGTTGGATGCATACATTAAGGCAACAGCCGTCGTGTACGACCACTCCAACACCAAACTCATCAGCAGGAAGACTAAAGTCAAACCAAGCAGGAAACAAGCTTTTCTGTCTGGACTGCATTTCGGGAAAACGTCTTCTGATGATTCCTATGCAAAGAAGAGACCATTGAAACGATGGATTCGAAGAGAATCGAGGGGCACTCGCCAAAGTCAAAGGTAAACAGCACTGACATTTACAGAGTCATACATTGAGACAAATAGAAGCTATATGAGAATTGTAACTTTATTTTGAAGGATTTATTTGATGTTTGATTCTTTACAAATAGTTGTTTAAAAGTTTTTAAAAAATTGTACAATTAAATGCAACACCTTTATTAGAAAAATGTCAGTGACAATTGTAGTTTCAAAATAAATTCTTCGTTGATCTCATTCTATTGTTTAATAATTTATTTCTAAAACTACACAGTGTTTCCCCCTATTTTCACAGTAATACCGAAGACGTAAAACAGAAACTGCATCTCTTTGTCTGGACTTCCCACTCAAAAAAAACCAAGACACTTTACTTTGAACTTCATCCCGAGACATCAGTCACATCTCTCAAAGAAACAATCCAGAAGAGAATTGGTGTTGAGGCACGATATCAACGTCTGTACATCAGGAAAAACTTTCAGGTATAATTTGAAATATCCCATCTTAGATATTGGTGTGATGTGATTTTCCAAATGGTAATATAAAACGTAAAATCGGACATTTAAATATTTTAATCAATGTTATTTGTATTGATGATACACACACGTTAAATACACAAACACATTACAATTAATCTCTCCATACTAAATTAAACGAACATAATTTCAATTCACAATTAACGAAAATCCACTGTGTTTCCCCTGATCGTTTAACTTATTTTCAAACAATATTCACTTTGGTAGCTCTTTGACCTACTCACACTTGAGGAGAATGGTGTCGGCAACGATGAAATCATCTCTCTCCATCTTTCAGTAGATGGTCCAAAGGATGACAATGTATCAAAAGGTAAACTACAAAATGTGGGAATATAATTTTCAATTAAATAAACTGTATCTTTATTTGATATATTAATAAAGAAGAAAGGTGCATTTTTTGTTTGTTTTAGCTTTAGGTAATAATATAATTTCTTTACTTTGGTAACTTATACGGTGGTGGACGCATTTGAGAATGTTTCACTAAAGGTAATCTTTATTTTGATAGACAAAGCCAACATTGATGATGAGTACCTCAAGGACTTGTCTTCGAAAAGTGAAACATCATGGAAGGAACTAGCTGAACATCTAGGATATGAAGAAGCGGAAATTGCAGACATCCAATCCAGCAACGAAGGCAGCAATGAAGCTGGCCGTCACATGCTACTCACTTGGTGGGAAAAAACGACAGATCACGACGAAGCAGCCCAGAAGCTGAGACTAGCATTGGAGGCCATTGGGTTGACTGATTTGGCCCAAAATGAACCAGGTACGCTAGAAGTGAGGAACAATTTTTTAAATCACACCTCACGCATTTGACAGCAAATAGGCCATTACAAAACCTGCTGCTAAAAAAAAAAACAATTAGAAATACTATGATGCACTCTGTTTTCCTGCTTGTATTAGTAACGAATGAATCAAGAGACGAAGCAGCTGGACCCGAGCCAGACAGGCGTCAAGATGCAGGAGTTGACGAGGAGAACAAAGATAGCAAGGCGGCATCAACAAAGGAAAAGACACAGAAAAAGTAAGACATTTGTGAGTTAGACAAACCTCGGCGCATCTTGTAAAACGTGATTAAATGCTGCTATTTGTACTGCACATTGTGTTTGAAGAATTACCTAGGCATCACATTTTATTTTGTAAAGAACTAAACTTTTTATTTGAAAAAAAAAAACAATATTTCCTCACTTAAACATTGGTGTACAAAAATGGTTACAATAATGGTCCATGGTCTTTACTTTCATTACTATATTGTAATTGCCAATTCAACCTAATAAAAGTACATTAACATGCAAAACATGTTTTTCTGACAGTTTCTTCATCCGATGTCACCTGACACAAAAGCCCAGAACGCTTTGTTTTCAATTGGATCCAGAGACATCTGTCTGGTGCTTAAAACTTATATTAAACGAGATCATCAGTGTCCATCCTCAACAACAACGATTGTTCATCCGAAGAAACTTTCGTAACTTCGAGGTAAAAATGGCTCCACATTTTTCAAAATTACCATGTTGTAAAGTATCATTCAATATTTCATTATAAAAGAGGCCGTGGATCAGAAGCAGCAGTATCATTTGCGTACAAACGCTGCTCTGATATCGGTACAATTATGTTGTTGCACTAAAGTTCAGGGAACAATAAAAACATAATTACTGGGGGAAATGGTTGCTTAAAGACCAAAGATTTTAAATAGTCTCAATTTTAAAATTCACCACTGAAAAAAAATGTTTCCTTCATTATGTTTTAATCCAAACTACGAGACTTTCGTCTTTAAAAGACCTCCGTTTAAGTTAAGAGAGTATTTTGTGAAGATCTGAAATTTAAAAATGTTGATTGGTTTCAGCTTTGTAACTTGCTGACACTTCATGACTATGGAATACAACAGGACGAGAATATCTCACTCCGCCTGTGTACTGATGGCCTACTGGGCGGTGGACCAAAAGGTAAAGTAAAATAATATATCTTGGGATGCCAAATCCGCCTATCAAACTAATCATGCCTGAGCACATACGTTTTTATGTCGCCTTAACAAAGTTTTTTGAGACACTAACCAGTTTTAAATTCTGTATGACCCTACGGTCATCATATCGCACAACTTCTCCGATTAACTAAGTGACCAGTTTGATACTTAGTTTCCTATTTTATTCCGAATATATACCTTTTTTTTCTCGAAACATTCAGGGTAAAATACGGCGCCCAGAAAATGTCCAACTTCAAACGCGAATTACTCGAAACAAGGTTTTCGCTTATTCGTCTGTATGTCAGCTCTGCAACGATTTAATACCCGAGAAATAGGTCTCGGGAAAGCTACATTGTATTTCGGACTCTTCCCAGGCATTGATGAATACAGTTTGGAGTAATATATTTTTTTTTGTTCTTGTAGCGGAAATATCAGAGCTGACTCTCTCCGATGTCGCCGGGAAGCTTGGTCACGATTGGAAGGATCTTGCAATACACCTTGGCTTCACATCCGCAGACATCTCGACCTTCGAGGCCGACAACCCAGGCAATGTCAACCATCACACATTCCAGATGCTGGTAGCATGGCGAAACAGGCAGCCGACCATTGGAGGTCAGATGGACGTGTTGTGTGCAGCATTGGCCAGGATCGACAGAAATGACATCGTCTCGTTCCTTCAAGGTAAGTGTGGCGGTTATCAGAAAATTAAAGTTCTCTTAAGGTTCAATTAAAAGTTCCAAATTTTATTTATTCGATTGATTTTTTTCTGGCGTTCAATAGCTGTCACTTCATTGGTGTTCACTAGTTCAGTTGATTAACTTTTCACTTGATTCAGATCAGTACTTTTCACTTGATTCAGATCATTCACGTAAAAACTGGAAAATAACCAACACAAAGGGATATAAAAGTACATGTACATTTTCATGTAAAGTGGACATGTGGAATACATGTAATTAACATGTGGGATAATTTGACATGTTGCTCCCAAAAACATGTTATTATATAACCCCAAATAAATCCCAGGTTTATAATAAACAAGAAGAGGATTTATCATACAATAAAACCCAGAATGATACCCAGATCTAAATCCATTATTGACCAGGGGCATAAAACTGTAACGACTGCATGAGGTGCAGTGTACATGTGTCGTTGAAATATCGCTAAACAAACACATTCATATAAACTGATTTATCGAGCGATTCATGATCCTCAAAACATTACAAATGACATTATTCAATGACTCAAAATTACCTCACAATAATTCTATGAACTATAAAATATATTGTAATTAAATAACCATTGTCCCTATGTCAAGTTTTGAGGAAGAACCTCAATTGTTTGTAGTCGAAATTCGCTAACGATTCACAAAATGTGATCAGACGAAGATAATGTACGATGCACAGAACATAACAGCGCCACCATGCGGCAAGAATTAACAAGGCGCAACTGCCGACACAGTAAGTCTGTTTCAGTGTTGTAACTATAACAGTGCGCAATGCTTTAATGAACCATACTTGTTGCATGATAAACCAAAGTGGTTAAAATTTCTAATTCATTTTCCACAGGACTACGAAATGTACATATAACTGGTACATAAATTATGTTTTTCACCACAAAATGACAGTCGAGTATGTCTATATCAAACGCGTAAATCTGTATTATTAAACGATTTTCAAATCCGTTCTATCGTAAGGCTCGTGCAGTTTGCGTTTTATCTTCGTTCACATAGTAGGACACCTACAGGGTGTGTCAAAAACAGCGGAAACAAACCAAAAACATCATAGTTCATATTTAAAAAAAAAATAATAATGACAGGAAATATAATAATTACAGGAAAACCAATTTCATAATCTACTTCTCAATTAGGCAAAAACCAATATTACTTTATCCGTTCAAAGAATATCACCAGTTAAACACAATGACCATAGAACCTCTTTCGTCCAAAATTGTCTTCAAACATCACCAGTGATACAATCTCGGTTTCAAAGAAAAAAAAATTAACAAAGTCCTTTTGAAGGCCCGTCTTAAAAAAAATGGAGTTTGTAAATCATATTGTTTGCCTAGCCAGAGTTGTTCATAAAGATATTGTGTACTACAATTTACTAGGACGTCACAAGAAATCAGAGCAGCCCGTTGGCTCTCAGCCTGCTGATGATGCTGGTACTTCCACCAGGCCGTCTACAAGTCAGATCCCCCAAACATCAGGAGTTACATCTAGGGAGGAGGTTGGCACTCAGCCTGCTGATGATGCTGGTACTTCCACCAGGCCGTCTACAAGTCCGATCCCCCAAACATCTAGAGTTACATCAAGGGAGGAGGTTGGCACTCAACCTGCTGATGATGCTGGTACTTCCACCACGCCGTCTACAAGTCCGATCGCCCAAATATCAGGAGTTACATCAAGGGAGGAGGTTGGCACTCAGCCTGCTGATGATGCTGGTACTTCCACCAGGCCGTCTACGAGTCAGATCCCCAAAACATCTGGAGTTACATCGAGGGAGGAGGTTGTCACTCAGCCTGCTGATGATGCTGGTACTTCCACCAGGCCGTCTACGAGTCCGATCCCCCAAACATCTGGAGTTACGTCAAGGGAGGAGGTTGGCACTCAGTCTGCTGATGATGCTGGTACTTCCACCAGGCCGTCTACAAGTCAGATCCCCCAAACATATGGAGTTACATCAAGGGAGGAGGCTGGCACTCAGCCTGCTGATGATGCTGGTACTTGCACCAGGCCGTCTACAAGTCAGATCCCCCAAACATCTGGAGTTACATCAAGGGAGGAGGTTGGCACTCAGCCTGCTGATGATGCTGGTACTTCCACCAGGTCGTCTACGAGTCAGATCCCCCAAACATCTGGAGTTACATCAAAGGAGGAGGTTGGCACTCAGCCTACTGATGATGCTGGTACTTCCACCAGGCCGTCTACGAGTCGGATCCCCCAAACATCTGGAGTTACATCAAGGGAGGAGGTTGGCACTCAGCCTTCTGATGATGCTGGTACTTCCGCCAGGCCGTCTACGAGTCAGATCCCCCAAACATCTGGAGTTACATCAAGGGAGGAGGTTGGCACTCAGCCTGCTGATGATGCTGGTACTTCCGCCAGGCCGTCTACGAGTCAGATCCCCCAAACATCTGGAGTTACATCAAGGGAGGAGGTTGGCACTCAGCCTACTGATGATGCTGGTACTTCCACCAGGCCGTCTACGAGTCAGATCCCCCAAACATCTGGAGTTACACCAAGGGAGGAGGTTGGCACTCAGCCTGCTGATGATGCTGGTACTTCCACCAGGCCGTCTACGAGTCAGATCCCCCAAACATCTGGAGTTACATCAAGGGAGGAGGTTGGCACTCAGCCTACTGATGATGCTGGTACTTCCACCAGGCCGTCTACGAGTCAGATCCCCCAAACATCTGGAGTTACATCAAGGGAGGAGGTTGGCACTCAGCCTACTGATGATGCTGGTACTTCCACCAGGCCGTCTACAAGTCCGATCCCCCAAACATCTGGAGTTACATCAAGGGAGGAGGTTGGCACTCAGCCTGCTGATGATGCTGGTACTTCCACCAGGCCGTCTACGAGTCAGATCCCCCAAACATCTGGAGTTACATCAAGGGAGGAGGTTGGCACTCAGCCTGCTGATGATGCTGGTACTTCCACCAGGCCGTCTACGAGTCGGATCCCCCAAACATCTGGAGTTACATCAAGGGAGGAGGTTGGCACTCAGCCTACTGATGATGCTGGTACTTCCACCAGGCCGTCTACGAGTCAGATCCCCCAAACATCTGGAGTTACATCAAGCGAGGAGGCTGGCACTCAGCCTGCTGATGATGCTGGTACTTCCACCAGGCCGTCTACAAGTCCGATCCCCCAAACATCTGGAGTTACATCAAGGGAGGAGGTTGGCACTCAGCCTGCTGATGATGCTGGTACTTCCACCAGGCCGTCTACGAGTCAGATCCCCCAAACATCTGGAGTTACATCAAGGGAGGAGGTTGGCACTCAGCCTGCTGATGATGCTGGTACTTCCACCAGGCCGTCTACGAGTCAGATCCCCCAAACATCTGGAGTTACACCAAGGGAGGAGGTTGGCACTCAGCCTGCTGAGCGAGGTTTCGGGAGACACTCTTCCTTATGATCGTAGATCCGTAGACCATTACGAACCATATGTTAAAGTTAAAAAAAAATGTATAACTTCTAAATGCTTCATGGATTTTGATGAAATTTGAACACAGTGATCCTTGAGTAGGAAGACATAATTCTTCATTGGATTACTGAGGTCAAAGGTCATGCAGGGGTCATTAGTTGTCATTGTGCCAATATGCTTTAAAAGTTTATTTGTATACATAATTTGATGGATTTTAATGTCACTTGGATGCAATGGTGGGGGGTACCTCGCAACTCTCCCGACATTAGAGGTCAAAAGTCATGTAGGGGTCGTTTCGTTGTTTAAAAATGCACGTGTGGTCCACGAACCACTTGTTGTTAATCCGATCTACTTGCAACTTGGCATGCTCTTAGACCCCAATCTGAAGACGTGCACAGAATCATGACGTCACGATGACGTCATTGTTGGTTTAGTGACACATCCGTTAAGATGCATTCTTTGCAGGCCAATATCTCCTGAAATATTTGTCTGATTGGGTTGAATCTTGGTATGTACCTATTCCCGGATGCGATATATGCAAAATTTGAGATGACAATATCATGACGTCATATGTGATTTTATATGGATGTTGTAACTTTAAAGTGTCTCGCCATATCTCACGAACGGAGCACGCGACGATCTAATTTGTGTTTGTTATAGGTTTTAAGGCAATACACACTCGCACAAAAATGAATAAGTGTGTGACTTCCTGATATGACGTCATAAAAAGAAATTCTTTTTTATGAGCGTGAATTAGATCGAAACGAAACTCGGCAGACAGTAAAGGTATTGTCATTGCTATGCAAAATCAGCATTTGTGTCATGAAGACGTCATGGGTTGATCTTATGCGATTTTTTTTAATGTTACATTTTTGTCCTGCTTCGGAAATTTGACACTGTTTTTATTGTATCAAACCAACCTTTTACACAACCAAAGACCGCAATATACATGTAAACGTTGTCGAGTGTCTTCGTGATGACGTTATCATATATGCGACCCTTTATTAAAGGTGAATTTCTCAAACTCGTATACAAGCCCCATTGCCTTACAACTTTGCAGGTAATGAAAAGTCAGGTACAACTCAAACAAGATGACGTCATCCAGTGATTTTATTTGATTAATGTTATTATTGTTATGAGTTTTAAACAAAATAATGAAAACTCCTCTAGAGCCACGAATCAGACAAAGAAAAAAATAGTTATGACCGAAAACAGAATCTTACTGACACATTATAGTAAATAAAGGAAAAACAAATCTGTTACACTTAATGTTGACCTTTTGCTTCCAAATACTGTGAAGTCATCAAACTGGAAGTGAGGTGTTATCAATAAATACACTTTTACTTACCATATTAACCTGGGTTATTCTTACTTACTGCTAAACAGGTACCACTAAATCACTTTTCCTTCCCTGTTTTTAATGATGAAGCCATTAACCGGAAATAACTTGTACGCTTACCTAAAATGTACGTATACGGAAATTGATCCTACCACAACAGATGATTTTTTTTCAAAACAAAACAAATGGTTGTACTGGAATAACAAACTTCTCTGATTTTTTTTCTGATCTAACAAAAATATTCACGACTTAACTAGAACAGTTACTGGGCAGTGTGTTATGAAATATTTGTATGCCCGACCACTCTACGATTGTATCTCAATAATAGTGTAATTACTTTTTTGATGTCGACATTTACAATTCAGTATTACCTACAATACATGTTTTTAGTAAACCACCATTGAATTGAATGGAATGAAATTGAATTGATTTGAAATATAGTTTAAAGCTCTGGCAGGAGCTTCTACATGTCACTCGGTGGTCGCTTAGTCCGTCGGTCTGTATGTCTGTTCCCAAAAATCGACCAAAACTTGTTGACCAAAACTAATTGACTAATTGACCAGTTGACTAATTGCCATACAAACGTTTTCGGAACACGGGTTTTGTTTCTATTGATGCGCATGCGCGTTTAATTTGCATACGATTGTCCCCACAGATTTCCCAAAATAAACCCCCCTACGTTTCCCATCAATTATAACTACCAAGTTGAATAAAAAAAAAAGCAAACAAAATCTTTGTTTATGAACAGTATGTAAATAGAGGCAAAATATGTGGAGTTATGTTATGGTTGCGTGGTATTTTGTGTAGTGATTGGACGGTAGACAGATGGAGGAGATATATTGTCCCCAAAAATTGACCAAAAGTATAGTTGTCCATATGTGCCATTGGCGTTGCATTTTTCACCAGAGCTTATTGTCCACTTGCAATTGTTATTCTTGCTTTTGATTGCAGACCCACAAAGAGGTGGAGCCAGCATAGGAAACACCGGCACAATCAGCGGTAGCCACAACCCTGTCATTGTTGGTTCAAGTGGAGTTAATATTATCACTTTCAATTTGCCGTCGGAGAGACCAGGTAAATATAATCTTGATCGATACAATAAAGTAGTTTAATATCTTAGATCGAGTGTTAGTTTATTTTTTAGGGGGAAGGATCAGGGGATGGTATTAACATGAACATATTTCATGCTATGTACATCAGATTCGATTTGGGGAGGTAACACACTGAGCATACAGTATTTATACGTCGGTTAAGGGCAAAACCTAATTTGATTAACATATTTCACGTTCGAGAGAGTTACCACTTTTCTTTGGTACAACTGTGGACACAAAATGTGGGTGCTATTTATAGTGGTTAAAGTCTTGTCGTTCCTCTATGGGTGCAGACCTGTAAACAGGCCCAAAATTGTTTACGCGGGCAAGATCACACACACACACGCACATTAGGTCAAAATATTGGTACAGTTCGAGACCGCCTCGAAATGTAGGTATTGAGCTTAGGGCCTCAAATGGTATGCAGAACAAGTACATGTATGTGTGTGTGTGGGTGTACAGGCATTACATTCACTGTGTGGACTTCCGAACAAAAGATGTCCACATAAACCAGGTAGAGGAGACACTGTGCGGACTTGGGCAAGTCCACACAGTGTTTCCCCATTTCTGGAAAACAGGTTTAGAGGCATTTGGGGGTTAGGTTTATCCGTAGCAGAATGAAGAGAAACACTAAAGGGAATCATAGAAAAAAATTGGGTTGAAAGAGTTTTCACAGTTTGAGAAAAATGAGTTTTTTCACTGGTTTTTCTTAACTACACGAAAGCAATGGAAAGTCCACACTTGGTATGTAACGTAAAATGGTGTGTGTGTGTGTGTGAGTTTGTCTTACATACGCAGTGTGGACTTCCGAACAAAAGACGTCCACATAATGTAGGTAGCACCGACGTTGTGTGGACTTGCCCCACGTCCACACAGTGTTTCCCCATTTCTGGAAAACAGGTTTAGAGGCATTTTGGGGTTAGGTTTATCTGTAGCAGAATGAAGAGAAACACTAAAGGGAATCATAGAAAAAAAACTGGGTTGAAAGAGTTTTCACAGTTTGAGAAAAATGAGTTTTTTCACTGGTTTTTCTTAACTACAC